CCTGCCAATGCAGGAGATACAGAAAATGCGGATTCAATCCCTGAGTCAGGGAAATCCCCTGGAGAAGGGAATGGCAACCCACTCCAGTCTTATTGGCTGGAGAATCCCATGGAGAGAGGAGCCTGGTGAGTTACAGTCCATGGAGTCTCAAAAATTCAGACACTACTGAGTGACTAACACTTTCACTTTCATACAAACTATATTTTTTTGAGAACTACTATGTATCAGCCCTGTGCTAAGGATAAAATAAAGCTAAGTCCTTTTTATGGAGACTACTTATTAATAAGATAGATAATTAACAAATCAAAGCATAAATATATAATCTCAGATAATAACAAATTATTTGTTTCTGTAGAGTAGTAAAGTCAGAAACTTGAATAGAATAGATTCAAGAAGAAATGAGATGTTAGGAAATAAAATAGCAATATAAGATGATTTTTAAAACTGGATTTTGTTTTACACAGATGCCAAACAGAATTGGTTAAAGGTATAGGAGTATTGAGGTCAAAGATTTTGTTAAGGAATGAGGGTTTCAGAGCTGATGGCAGCAATCCACAGGATGGAGAAACTTTGCAAAATTGAGAGGAAGCTAATTGTAGGAAAAATGTCCTGGAGGAGTCATAAGTGGGTGGGATGTAGTAAACAGATGCCCCTCCACCAGCACAGAGCTTTTCTTTTGAGGAAGGTCAAGGCCAGTCTATGCAGGAGTGCTAAGCTGTCCAGGAAGAGGTCAGATGTGCTTCTTCTTGTTCCCATGTGTGTCTTTATGCAAGCCTATTTTCAGCCCCATTGGGGAAACTGAAGCACTTCAGTCATTGGCTCATGAGTTAGCCCTGAGATCACAAGAAAAAGGGGGTAGAACTCTTGTCCTTCAGGACATCTCATTCTAGTAGGTTCCTGGGAAAATGCATACCTCTCCTCGTATTAAGAAGAGGTTTCTCTCAAAGAGTGACTTGATCATTTAGTGATTTAGTTGAGTCATTTTAAATCTGGATTTTTATTAACCTTATTTTTATTCACACTGATTCTTGAGGATGTTGCCCTGAATTCACAAATTCCAATTAAGTATGCTAGGCTAATAACTTCACCATGAAAATATCTCAAACTATTCAAGTTCTGAATAAAGTATTCTGCTTTTGACACTACCCACAAACCTCCTAGGATTTGAAAAACTTGAAGTATGCAGAGGGAAATCAGACTAAATGCTCACGTATATTTTATTGGAAACATTTCTTTAAAAACATGAAGACAAGGGGAAAAAAACGACCAAATTCAATTTTTGAGCCTGGCACTACAACTTCTCTACAAGTCACTCTATTCTAAACAAGAAAAATAAAATCAGCTTTGTTCCTGAACATATGCTTTTGACATTTTTTTTTCCTTGAAGGCTGTGAATTATTAATAAACTAATTTCTCTTTATAGTTCAATCTTTGGAGATTTAAAGTGTTCTCTGAAATGCACAGGGAAAAGATAGAGCTTGAGTTCCAATCAGCTCCAATCCTCTCCGGAGAGGCTGGCCTTGAGGTATCTCTGAGTCTTTGATATCAATCTTTGATTCAGCTGGGAATTTCTGATCATTTCTAGAACTAGTCTGTTAATACTCCTTAATGCCCTGTTTAAGTTGGGCCATTTCTGCTAGCTGACTTTATGCTTTCACTTTGCTCCTGAGATATTTTATGTTTGTGTCTGTAGCATATGTATGTACATCTCTCTCTTTCTCTGGATATACCTGATGGATTATTTTTTGGCAAGTTGTATTAGAAGGCAGGACTTTTGATAACAAAGAATGTCCAGAAAATCGGCAGCTCTTGTAATAAACTGTGCTGGATCTAAGTTCTACTAACATTGCCTCCTCCCTCTTCAGTGGAGTTTACCGAAGAGAGCTTTTGGCTCTGTGGAGGAAATAAATTTGCAAAACCCCAAGCTGTGCGACAGTAGAATGAATGAGAGTTCGGTTAAATTTGTTCTGCCCGATGTCCGAATCCCTGAGCGGGAAGAGAGAGCTTCCAAGACAATGCAATTTACAAAAAGGGAAGTTTATTACTGACTCGAGTCAGGGCTTTCTGCTGCAACCAACACAGTGGCACAAGGTCAGAAAAGACTTGAACAGAGGCTGTTATCCAAATTTATAAGGTATGCATAAGCGGTTAGTAGCTGGCTTAAGTGGATTGGTTACATGTTTGCAAAGCAATTTTATTGGTACAAACTTTCGCGGGCTTTTTTCAAACCTGGGCATTCACGGGCTTTTCAGCTCTCCCTTTGTTTCTTACTGGGCGCATATTGGCTGGCTCCAGGTTACCTGATGGGGGTAGGGAATCTTATCATTTCGGGGGAAGCCAAAACTTAGGTCCAGGCCGCCTGTCATGGTATTAACCCTGGCAGCCTCACAAAATTCCTTCCCTCTACCTTGTACCATTAAGCATGTTAAAAAGGAGCACCCGGCTGAACAATAGTCAGAGGTGAAGAGAGAGGATTCCATCACCTGGGAGTTCATACAATTTAGCTGAATGTCTGAAGTCACTTCACACATTATAATTCTGTTGCCTCCTGTGGTATCAATATATGAAAATTATTATTCCTGTTTTTTTGTTTTGTTTTTTCAGGGGATGGGGGATCAGAGGGAGAAACTGAGACCCTGAATTTAGTTGCCTTGCATGATACCCTGCATACTGTATTCAGGGACTGAACATGAGTTCCCATCTCTGTGATGGGTCTTAGGGGGACTCAGATTCTGGATGAGGTCTTCTGCCTCTCAGGTCTATTTATTGATCCAAAAGTGGGGTGGGGGAAATCTAGCAAACACAGACCAATCTGTATGTACCAGTTCCTGGTCTCTCTCACCTGAGGGAACTGGCTTCAACACTGGTCTCACCTGCCTTTATTTTCCCACTGCTGCCTCCTCTCATAACCTGCTGCATTATCAGGGTACAGTGATCAAGCAAGAGAGTCACCAGGTGACCATGTTGACAGGGCTGCTTAGCAGGAGCGCAGAGGATTGAGACTCCACACCAATAACAAGATCTTTCCCAACATCGCCAGCTCATGCAGACAGCAGACTTGCTTCTCCCCCAAGGAGGCCAGGATCATAACCTGAGCCACAGAAAGGAAGGGGGTGGGGAGAAGGGAAGGCAGAAGAAAAAAAGAAAGCTTTTCCTTTTTTATTTCTAAAGCCAGTTCTATTCTTGGACTTTATTTACTTTTTTGTTCAGCTCCAGGGGTTAAAGGGCTCACAGTAATGGAAACTGGAGGTCACCGATTTATTGCTCTTCCTCTGGACTCTCTTCTGGGCCAGTTTGCTTGGTGGTGAGTACCAGCATCCTCAGCCTTTCTCACCCAGGACCTCAGCCTCATCCAGGCTGAGGACTCCCTCACTCTAGGACCTGGGAAAACTCGGCTCTGCTGTGGCCAGTGATGGGCTCCACCAATCAGAATCTCAAGTGACTGTCCATAAAAGACAGCATCTCCTAAACCAACAGCTAGAAACTCAGACAGGAGTAGATAGGACAGTCTTAAGGCACAATTTTTCTATTCTGGGAAATCTGAATTTTTTTATCTTAAAGCCTCATAATGATTGGATGAGACCCATCTGAATTATGGAGGCTAGTCTTTAAAGGTTAACCTCGTCTACGAAATACCTTCACAGCACCACCTCAGTTAATGCTTGGTGATGTCACTGGGCTATAAAGTGTAGCAAAGCGGACACACAAAATTAAGCATCACATGTACCAAGTCCTCTCGTATCTATCTACTCTCTCTCAGATCCATCCACTTCTCTCCGTGACTCCACATACCACCCTAATCTAAATGCCATCATCTTCCCTGAACCAAGGCAATTGCTTCCTAAATTATCTCCCTGCTTAAACTTTCCCCAAACCATGCTTCACCCTGTAGCCAGAACGATATTTTAAAAATATGTACCAGATTCTGTGTTCCTCTGTTTGAAATCACTCAATCACACTTGCCTGGGTCTAAGATCAGTCACAGCTCCTAATACCACCTAGAAAGTTCTGCTAGGCCTGGCCCCTGCCCACTTCTGCTGCATTCTTCATGCTTCCTGCATTCCAGCCAGACTAGCCTTTCAGTATCTTGCATTTTTCCTATTTCCTTCTTCCACAGGGTCTTTGCAAGGGGTCTTCCTTTTGCCTTACATCTTGTTCTCTCTCCATGGGCCTGGGTAACTCCTACTTACGGCCATTGTAGTCAACCTTATTCCCCTTATCCACCAGCCTGACCAGATCATATCCTCTAAATGTATATTATCCCACCTCTCCTTTGGAGGACATATGGCATGGGAAGTTAATCTTTATTTGTGTGGGTATGTGATTGGTGTCTATGTCTCCCAGACATTGCCTTGTAAAGACGGCAGCAATGACTGACTTGTCCCCCACCACCTATCTGGTTTTCAGTATGGCGCTGAGACATGGGGGTGCTCAGTAAATATTAAGGATTGAATATACGGGTGAATTGTCTGAGTTAGGATGGAGGTCAGGAGAAGGATGCTTGTTACATCCTGGCCCTTCCCTCTAACCTTTACCATTCTTCCCCCACACCTTGAACAAAACCACAGCTTCTTCTGATTACAACTTTATATCACAATTGAGCACTAAGACTAGGAGTCTTAAAAGAGGCAGGAAATCAACAGTGTTGACTGCTCCAGTCAGCTTGTTTGGCACCCACACACACATATCTAGTGTCTTTAGTTCAGCATTCCAGTCTTACCAGTTTGAAGACATCCCCATTATTTTAAAATTTGGAGATTTCATCTAAAAATATAAATTTATGGCTTCTCATTGAAAAGGAAAGGAAAAAAAACATCTGTCTACCCTTGGCCTGCCATCCCATATGGCAAAAGTCAACTTTAGTTGAGCAACAACTGTCCATATAAGACAGGACAGGCGGTGTCCTCAGGTCAGTACATTCCCATAGGCCTCCCTCATTCAGATCACCTGCCCTGTATATACTGGCGTTTGAGTTCTCTGCCGTAACTGACAGTAAACTTACCATTTCCTCACTTTCTTCTCCATGTCTCTTCAGTAAACTCTAAGGAATGTGTCCTAGGGGAGAAACGCAGTTGTATAAAAGCTGTTAAAGAGCAATCTGATAACGTGTCTGTTGGTGCTCTCTTTTTAGGTCCTGCTGACCACAGCAGTGGCAGCAGTCTGCCCTTCACTTAACCTTTTTGATTTGGGTGGGCCAAGGACGAAGTGAAGCCCTGAATTAGCAGCCAATTTCTCTACAAAAACTGAAATGATTGTATCCATACATCCGTTGCTTTTCTCTATAGGATGGGAGTGAAAATATTTAGCATAACTGTCAGCCAAAATGGCACAATATGAAGGCCACGCATACGAATTTTTTTATGGCCTGACTTCTCCCGGGAACTTAAGTAAATTCCCTGAGCTTGTGACCTTCCATTGGACACAATACAAAGGGTCGTTATTTGCTTGATTCTCATGCTTAAAGGGGAAAAAAAAAAAAGAAAGGAAGTCCAGATGAAAGTTAAAAATAGGGCATGTGAATTTAATGCGACTTTCTCTGGGATCATAAGTCTGCTGAAGGGAAGTAAAGAGGGAAGAAAAAAATAGACATTATATTAACTGAGCTTCCTGGAAGAATGCTATTTGCTCACAAATGTTTATTCAAAGGACTCCTTAGACTAATTCCTCATTAACAAAAGTGTCCTGGAATGTAGGTGGAATCCATTAGAACATCTTTGAAGGAAACTTGAGAGCTAACTCAGAAAAATCTCAGGCTTACAGACATTTTTTTTCTGCTCTGTCGATCTTTTAAAATTACTCTTCACCCTTGTTATTAAGTATTCTTTCACCATATCTAGAACTTGTACACATAAAACCCACCTTCTTGCAAGTTGAAATTTTGCTTTGGGTCACATGGCTGAGTTAAGAAAAAAATAACCAAATTCCAGGGGTCCACAGTAAAAAGGGCCTCATCTACTTTGCAAATATGATTCACTATAGTAAACAAAGGTTATTTTCTGCAATTCGCTCTGAGGGAATGACTGAATCTAAACTTCAGCCTTGCTTCTGAAGCATAATTCCAATCAGGGAATTATGTCACAGGTGGAGACATGTCCCTGGGAAAGAAAGCATCTGCTTTCATACAGATGTCATCAGTAATAAAGAAAGATGGGGAAGCAGTGTGATCTGGGAATTGGATCGTGTTCATATCAGATCTGCTTTTCAGTTGTAAAAACAGTAAGTTATGCTCGATTATTCTTGTACACGCTGTGGAAAACTTTTCTTAGCTTTACCAGGGTCCAGAGAGAGACACGAGACCCTGGCAAAGACTTTAGAAAAATGATTATTTCTGAATTCTGCCACAAACTCTATCCTGGTTCAGAAGCAAGAAGCTTGGGGGAAAATAAGTTTAAGCTCATAAAAACACTCAAAGGGCATACTGGTCATCAAACAGCTCTGAGCAAACTGCATTTGCAAATAAATCTGAAAACATGTGGATTCAATTTTCCTTGAAATGCCCAGAGGTTAAAAAATTAAGGGGGGAATGTTTGGCAGAAAGAACCTGGGGTTTGGCTGTGTGCACAAGTTTCTGAAAAATAAATTGATCGTTTTGCCAGAGAGAATATATTACCTGGTCCCCCTTCTCAATCACATCTCGAGCTTAATTGTCAGTGGTCCCGTTTCTCATTGTGGCTGCAAAGTGGACAGGAGGGTTTGAGTTCATTTGAAAGAAAGCAAGTTTTATTTCTTCCCAGGGTGGCCTTCTGCACAGCCAACCCAGAATCTCAGCACCGTCATGGGTTTCAGCCCAGTGACATAGTGGCGAGAAAACCATCTGCTCGCAAAATCGTTCCTCCTTTGCCTCTTGCCTCCCATCTGCCTCCACTCATCAAGTTTTACCCCACTTTTTTCCTTCCGCCAACCCCCCAAATAATACCTTTTTTATGACCGAATAAACACAGGCAAATGTGGAACTGCTTTAGAGCAAATCCAAACTGTTTTAAAAGATCATGAAAATAGAGTGGGTGGGGGAAAAACTCCATCTGTGAAAAAGCAGTGATTAGCCTTAAAACAATGTGAGGCCAACAGCGCAGAGTCCCATTATGAGATGATGTGTGGTGCCTGTAAGTGGCTGTTCCTGGTCTCTGAGGTAGCAAAGTTGTCACATGATTCTGTTGTTGCCATGGCAATAATCTGTAATTGTGCAGAAAATCCACAGAACTCATGAGCAACTCCTTAGTGGATTGGGCTGAAAGAAAATCAAACCCATGAAAGCCCTTGAATTGATGTGGTTATGAGAGTGCATTGGCCAAGCTGGTCCAGGTGAAGCTGACCTGATTTTGTGGATTTCCTTCCCCTAGCCCCTGTCTAGCTTTGGTGAACTCCCTCTTTATGTATGTTTTCCACACTTTTATGTCCATAACTGGTGAGAGGTATAAATCCTAGTCAGCTAGGGCAATGCTTCAGCTCCTCAGAATTCTGAACATGCAGTTTGGAATCTACAGGATGGGGGTTATGGCTTCTTTGGCTGCTTAACCTTTAAACATGCTAGACTAGTACTGAGGACTAAGGCCTGATTTGTACACTTAGGTGAAAAAGATTAGAGTGTCCATTGGTGGGGGCTGGGGGGGTGCGGGGAGAGAGGCCTATTTCTGCCCCGACAAAGGCCCCGAGGACACACTGGGTAGGAGATAGGCAGTGAGGGTGTGTTGTTCCTGGGGTAACTCGGCAACAAAGTACACACACATGGGCAACACACCCATCTTAAGGCTGCCAAGACCTGCCTTCTTTAAGGCAAGCTAATACAAACCATGCCCCCAGCACGGCCGTGGAACAGAGGGTAGGTAGCATTTCTCTCTCCTGCACTAGATGCTGTGTGACGTTTATGCATGTATCAGCCGTCAATCCCAAGCGGTTGAGGGCGTGAGTGAGTGTGGGGCCCCCTGACAGAAAATTTGAGCAGGAAGAGGAGCCAGACAAATCACTCTCAAGTTCCAAACTTCAGCGAGAATCCCATGGGAATGCAGCTTCCAAGTGGATCCCATGAGAACATCTGGGATGAAGACGCTCACGCCAGACTCAAACCCAGACTCATTAGTAATAATGCTTCAGTTTTTTTCTCATCTATTTATTTATCCTCTCATCTACCGCAAGTTATGATTTGCTTTTCTTCTGCCCATTTTCCTACTGGGAGCAGGAAAAGGAAGGAAGAGAATGAACACCAAGCTGTAAATTTGGGTACTTTCTCTTGGATACCTTCTCACTTGAGGTTAATTAATTACAGACAATTACTGACAGACTTTGCTTAATTTAGGCAGAAAGGAATGCAACGTAGGAGAGTGAAGGGCTTGTGGATTTGGAGAAAGTATTGAGAATCAGGGTAGGAATCAGATAAGAATCTGACAGCTTAGGGATCTCTGTAGCAAGAACAAAAAATGAACAGTTTGATCCCAGTTCATTACTAGAATATTTAGATTCAACTATTTTCTTTCTTGTCATTTTTCTCAAGATTCAAAGTGTTGGGGGGGAAAGTCCAAATGGCTTAATTTGGATCATGAACCCAGTTTTCTATTCGGAAGATGAATGTCAGAGGGAAAGGAGGGAGATGGTAGAGACTCCTTAACTTAGCATCTCATCAAGATTCATGGAGTGAGAGAGAATTTCTCAAAAGAAAAATTAAAGTGCATGTATGGAAGGAAGGAGATCAGATATGATGATGATCATGGCTTTGGCTTGGGGAACGGGAGAGTCCAACAGCAAATGTCCAGCAGTAGGACTTGAAGGGAAAGTTGAACAGTGGAAGTGCCTATCAATCAACTTACATTAGTAAGCCTGAGCCTAGACTTGCTGGGGAAAATTGCAACAGAAAGGCAGGTAGATGGAGAGGGAGGGGGAGTCTGGAAAATAGTTTTGTATGGCGTCCTCTTTCTGAAAGAGTCTAGAGGGAAGACAGCTACTTGATTTGATACCAGCCATGCTAATGGGGCAGACTTCCAGCTAGTCGAAGCTCCTAATGTCCACGTCTCAGCATGTCTGATTACAGGTTGAAGTTGACCGATCAGCAAACTACTCAATTATAAGCCCATCTTCTCCCTGTGGTGCCACTAATTAAAACAAGAAGCATGGTGCAGCTCACACACTCTGTGGAGCTCTTACCTTCCCAAAACTGAATGAGTCACAACCATTAGCCATTGTCTGTGAAATGCAACTTCCTCTTTCTTTTTTTCCCAACCCCATTTCTGTTTGGTGTGAATTCATCTCTGAAAAGCCTTCCCTCAGGATTATTGATCCCCTTCATACCCTTTGCTGGGAGAGAGGAACACATGTGGTGGGAGCTTTGAAATGCAACCTCAAAATGCAGCTATGTGGAAATCTCAGTGTTCTGGAATGTTCTGACCTTTTGTCCTGCCAAGCACCACTTTTTTTTTTTTTTTTTTTTATGAAATCACATCATAAAGGCTATTCCTACAGCGAACTTAATTTTTAAGAAGAGGGAGAAAAAAGATATGGCTCAGCACCCATCCGTTTGCAGGAGAGCTGTTCTCAGACACCTGGAACAAACTGAAGCCTTTCTTTTCTTTTGCTGTCTCGATAAGCATAATGGGCCACTTTGGTAATTTCAGCTGTAAATGCATTTCTTTGTAGCAGGACAGGGCTTTCACGTGCAAGAGTGGAGAGAGAAAAGATGCTGAGAAGCACTGTGGTGACAGGCTAGCAGAGCAGGGGCTTGCTACACACCATCCTGTATGTCCCAGGTTCTTCTTGAAGGCCAAGTCCTTGGCTTTTCAACCAGAGAGAGAAACTTTTGTAAACTCCTCAAGGTCCAGTTAAATTCTTCATTAGTATTAAAATCGATATCCCTGGAAATAAGATGACACTCCAGCATCCTTCCAGAAAGACTGCCAGTTAGCCTCTAGCAGCAGTTCCTGCCTGCAATCCTCTTAATGTCTCTTCTCCCTTGAAAAGATGCAACTTGAGATGTTCTTGCCTTTCCATACAAATTTTTCCATTCAGCATTGGATGACTCCATTGTTTTTTTTCCCACAAAGAAACACAGTAAGTTCTTCTATCACAATAATTTCTTATCAGTACATCTGGGGACATCTACACGTTTCTAAGAAAATCACTTGGCACCTAGTTGTAGAGGGGTAGACCAAACTCAGAGTCATTGCACAAACTGTGAGGCTAGAGGTGACAAAATGTTTGGTGACACAATGGGTAAGTGGGTAAAAGCAAAGAAGACTTTGCTTTCAATTCTGAAATTGCTAATTTGTCATTTTGGGTCTCAGGTTCCAAGTCTGTAAAATGAAAAGAGCAATAATGCCTACCTCAAATGGTTATTAGGAGGGTTCAATGAAATAACACACATAAGCACTGGGCTTATTATTTGTTGTATCAGTTCAGTCGCTCAGTCGTGTCCGACTCTTTGTGGCCCCATGAACAGCAGCACACCAGGCCTCCCTGTCCATCACCAACTGCCGGAGTCCACCCAAACCCATGTCCATTGAGTCAGTGATGCCATCCAACCATCTCATCCTCTGTCGTCCCCTTCTCCTCCTGCCCTCTCAGTCTTTCCCAGCATCAGGGTCTTTTCCAGTGAGTCAGCTCTTCGCATCAGGTGGCCAAAGTATCGGAGTTTCAGCTTCAGCATCAGTCCTTCCAATGAATATTCAAGACTGATCTCCTTTAGTATGGACTGGTTGGATCTCCTTGCAGTCCAAGCCCTCAAGAGTCTTCTCCAACAACACAGTTCAAAAGCTTCAATTCTTCAGCACTCAGCTTTCTCTATAGTCCAACTCTCACATCCCATACTCAATAAATGGGAAGAGTCACTAACAGCATCTTCAGATCTCCTGAGCGTGAGGCCAGTCAAAATGAATGAGGAAGGAGAAATGTCTGGGGCTCTGGAAGCCATATGACACACTCACAGGGCACCAGAAATCTTACCCACATCTCTTTGCCACTTTGTTCCCACCACTTATGTGTTTGATATGGCCATGTCTTCAGTTCTGCGGTTCCTACCTTGGGCAGGCTGTCCACAATAGGATGTGGGGACCTGCAGGTGACTCATAAAGTCTCATTTATCAAAGCTCTTTATTTTGCAGGGCTGCAGTATACCAGTTGAATGACAAAAATGGAGCAAATAAACTGATGACTCAGTGGTAAAGAATCCACCTGGAATGCAGGAGATTTGAGTTCAATCTGGGGGTCAGGAAGATCCCCTGCAGAATGAAATGGCTACCCGATCCAGTATGCTTGTGTGGAGAATTCCATGGACAGAGGAGCCTGGTGGACTACAGCCCATGGGATTGCAAAAGAGTTGGACATGACTTAGCAACTTAACACACAAACACATACAGGCTAAAGCAGTGCGTGTTACACACGCACACACAAACACAGGTTCTTCTAGCTGGTGACTTTCCACTTATTATTCCTTGATGGAACACTTTGGAAGCGGAGATCATTTGTATATTCCACATGTTATAGATTGATTTAGGTTGAGATGACAAACTGACATTAGCCAAATCTCAAGTCAGTTCAGAGATGGAGAGATGGGGTCCAGCAGTAGGGATTTTTTTTTCCCCCTAAGCCAGGACCTTCCTGACAGTCCACAGTTTACACAGGGAGCAGCAGCTAGGTTCATGAGGATTTTCAAAGGCAGGACAGAGTGACATGACGGAAACGGTGGGTGGGGAGCAGGAAATAGCATGGCTCGCTCTTATACAGGCTCAGGTTGCTCACTGTCATATACAATAAATCTGCTGAAAATGTTAAGGCAATTAAATAAAATAAAGAGAATACAAATGTGGAAAAAAGTTATTGTAATTGGATATTCCAGAACTCGAGACCCAGGCATAATGTTTTTATAATAGTGTATATAATAGAGTGTTCTATTCAATAACATAACGATTAAGTAATTGAACAACATTATTTCAAAATATTTTCTGGGTTGGATCTTATGTCCCAGCATCTCAAACACACATAGTTCTAGTTATGAGAATCTGCAGTATTAGGACAGTGAGCTCCAGCCCACAGAACATCTGGTTTCAACCAATGTTCCCAGTCTCTTGTCCTTATAAGCAGCAAATCTGGAGGACCAGGTTTGCA